CAAGGAGGCAAGGGGCAAAAGCTAGGAGACGAGACCTTAGTAACAATACCTTTGCCCGCACGCTCTACTTAACTTCTCCAAAGGGGTGCTCTTCTCGCCCAAAACTCGAACGTTCGGTCAACGATTCCCGGGAAGAGGGAGCCTAGCAGCATCCGGTCATGCGATCCTTCGCCCGTCCGATGGAAAATCAATTACACAGCCGATGGTCGGCTCCCGGAAAGGATTTTCGGTAGTTTAGGATCCAAAAGTGCACGCGGTGATGCAAACTATTCCGACGCGAAAAGGCAACACAGATCAAGAGGACGAAAGAAATCGTACGACAGGAAGAGTAAGAGTGAGAGAGACAAGGAGGGAAGATGGAACGAGTTTTCTTGTCGGAATATTACACGTCCAATTATATCTTACACGACGAGGCACATAAATTCAGAACATTTAGCCTGGCAGTCAGGACGAGCAAGTAATCACTGGAACGTAAATATGGTCGTGTCCCCAACTTCGAAACTAAACGTCCCGCTCGAGTATAATTTCTCTGTCGTCGTCAAAGGACATTGCAACGCGTTTCATTCCTTTTTTGTGCCTGCAACAAATAAAATGTGCCTGCTGCCGAATTGTACGCCGGAGCAACAACAAAGACATTCATCGGGAGGCTCGGTGCAATTAATATTGTAATGGCAGAGTGAGTGAGTACTCGGAACGATCGATAAAGATAATTATTCAGTTAACAACTGGGTAATAATAAATTAGTGCCGTTTACACTCGACGATCAGCATTTTATTAATAGAAGGGAACGAGGTGCACAGAGGGTTTTTCGTTGGAGACACGCGTATTTGGTCAGAAGCTTTCTTCCGACGAAACGTCAGACCAATCGCTGTCGTCGCTGAATCGGGGTTCTTTGATGTTGTGCGCGATTGGGCCAGATCTGTCCTTTACCAGTATATAGGTGCCACGAGGCGTCTTCTTGATCCGTCCCAAAGCGATTCCTGCCTTGAGAACCTCCATTACCAGGTAGCCGGCCCGCGCTTTGGTAATCTTCATGTTCTTTAACACGTAGTGCACGATACTCTCGAAAGTGGCACCCTCCGCGAACCCGTTCATCTCGTGAGGGTTCCAGTTGCCGGACACCTGCGAGGACGGGTTCGTTTCAGTTCCATTTCTCAGTTCGGTTACTCTCACGTGAAAATACAACAACGCGAACAATCTAAAAATGAAGAACTGGCTTGCGGACATATAAATCACCAAGTGCCAAGTTTCCGCTTTAAATGGTTTCGATCGTTGTGTATTAAACTGTACGCTACGTTCATCTCGTGAGGGTTCCAGTTGCCAGACACCTGCGGGCACGAGTTCGTTTCACTCCGTTTCTCAATTATTTGCCTTTCATCTCTTTGCTTCATTTTGAAAATATTAGATTGTCCGGAAAGTTCATGCCGACTTTGGCGTGTATAAATATATCAATGTTACTGAGAACATGTTATTTGTATACATATTCTTAAAAAGGGACATTTCAATTTATCTTTAGTAGAAAAGTTGTTTGAAATAAATCGATTTTATATCCCTTCGATAAGAAAGTGCATTTTAGACGCTTGATGCTTTTCTATTACTGGAAAGCAACAAATAAGACACGTGCTGTCGCGAAGAAAGTGTTTTAATTGAAACAATTATTCACAAGCAATTCGCTAAGTTCAGAGCTGGTGATTTTAATCTTAAAGGCCAAGAACTCTCGAGCAGACTGTCCATCACTGATGATGAGTAAATCAAGACAGTGATCGAAAATAGCCAGCGCTACACGACGCGTAAATTAGCAGAGATTCTAAGAATATTGAAAATCACCGTTCACGAACATTTAGTGAAGCTTGGTTACGTAAATCGTTACGGTGAATGGATTTCGCACAATTTGACCGAGAAAAATTTGGATCGCGTCTCCATCTGTGACTCGTTGTATAAACGCAACGAAAACGCACCGTTTTTTTTTTTTTTTTTTTTTTTTTTTTTGAAGCAATTAACAACGAGCGATGAAAAATGGAAATATTGAGCGAGAAAGATTCTAGGCTAAGTGAAATGAAATACCATCTTCTTTCATTCGAAGGAATTTTGTATTATGAGATCTAACCAAACAATCAGTCGATAAATTTAGATAAATACTACTCGCAACTCGGACGTATTAAAAATATCGATGTTCATTGGCATCAGGATAATGCCAGACCTTGTGTCTCTTTGACTGCCCGACAAAAATTGTTGAATCTTGATAGGGATGTGCTGTCCCACCATATTCACCAGATATTGCACGTTCAGATTTTCACCGAGAAATCTGACAAGTTTCTCGAAGGATGGAATCTTCAAGTTGCTTGAAAGATTTAAATGAAATATTGTCTTTGGTTTTCAATGTTTTCGGTTACAACAGTGCGAAAGACGAGAAAGAAAAAGAGGAGAAAATAAAGCCAACTGCTTTGCCAAATAACGTAAATCGTCAAGTTTTTGCTTCGAAACATTGTATACTGGACGTTACTTTCTGTCGGCAATGTAATCTCAACAACTCAACGAGAATTCCAACGAGAGTTTTCTACAAGGCCAACGACGGACTTCTAAAGAAGAGCCGAAGGTAGAAGCCAGCGGGCGTAGAATCACGCGAATCTTAACAGAGCGATATCGTTCTTATTGCTCGCGTATTAGCCTCGTAATTGAGACGTGGTTCCTGTCGTGCGCGGTCGCGCACGCAACAATTCCGACCGCCGTTGAAGACGCGGGACGACACGCGACGCGATTGGAGACGTCATGCGAAAAGAAACATCCTTGGACGAAAGAAATGTCGTCGAGGATGTGGTCGCCAGTCGCAAGGACGATAATTAGAAATATCTTGGAATTTCTGGAAAGTCGTCTCCGACTGCAAATTACGGCGACATTGAGGCGAGGATATCGGCTTCCATTCCGCCAATCGCGGCCAAACCAATTGCTCTCGGTCGTTTACTTGGAACCGGGGCCTCGATCGTTAATTTTAAGGCGAAACGACGATCTTTGATCGTAATTCTGTGTGTTTAAAAAATATATATCTATATATCTGTGTAAGATAAAGGAAAGAGGTATCGAGTGAACTCGCGTCCTCGTTGACGAGCATTCTACCCAAGAGAGAGATGTATGAGTTGCTTCACGATCGACGACGATGAAGAGTTTTTCGTCGGTTGGCGTGGAAGCAGGTGATTCGTTGGTCTAATTGAAGGGCGCCCAGTGAGCTTCGGTAACGTGTAATTATCGGGTAGAATGTCGAGAGAGAGAGAAAGAGAGAGAGAGAGCTGGAGAATGTGGCGGTCGAGGCGAGAATAGAGACATTACTCCATCTTTTCCCTTCTATTTCTTCCAGGCGAATAGGAGAGCTAGAATTATCGGGTCCCACTTTATCCTACCTCGTTTTAGGCTCTTTCTTCCGTTCCAACGTCGTTGGATACGACACCGATTCTCAGGAAGGCAACGTTTCGACAATATTCCGTTACTATAATTCCCATCTCACGAACGCACGAACGGTCGAATTTCAACCAGACTTTTTAATTCGAGAAAAAAAAAAAAAAAACTCTGGAAATCCGAAGCGATCTCACCGAATTGTAATTGGAAATGTTGAAATTTGGAGATCGTAGCCCTTCATTTTCCAATCCAGCTCGAAGAACCAGAAAATATGTCGTTACAACAACGACTAGAGAATGAATGTTCTGTGTTGATATTACTGTTTTAATATTACAACACTGCAAACGTCTCATCCGATCGAAACATGGTGATTAACTGCGAGCTAACCTCGCGAGAATCAAGTTTATTAACGTGGCGACTGTTTCTTACAAAACATTATACCGAATCTGACTGAGTGAATTAAAATGTTTCTCCTAACTTGAGAATTGAGAAAAACACTGTTTTTTTTTTTT